GGCCGGAGCGGCCGAGGGCCAGGAGGGAGCCAGGCCTCGCTCCAGCGGGGCCACCTCCGGCCCCGCCGCCCTCGCAGCCACCCCCGGCTCCGCCGGTGCGGGGAGCGGCTGGCGGCTCCGGCCGTGGGGAGGTGCCGGTGTCCCGCAGTACCGGGCAGGGTCCCGTGCCGGGTGCTGTGGGGAGCCGCCCGGGATGCGGAGCAGGGAGCAGGACCCATGAGTCGGCAGGGACGGGCGTCCCCGCTCGCACCCCGCCACACCGGCTGGCCTGCAACAGCCCCTGCTGTCCCGGTGCCTCTGCGTCCTCCTCCCCCTCCCGAGGCGTGAGGCCGGAGGTTTGCAGGCAGGAGCGGGGCACGGACGGAGCTGCTGGGGTCTGGCAGGAGGCAGCCAGCCCGTCCTGCTGTGCTGGAGCAGGTGTGGAGGGCCGGGGCTGTGGGGTCCGGGCTTGGCACCCTGTGGCAGGAGCCCCCTGCGGTGTGGTCCCCACGTGGAGTGGTCGTCCCCAGGGAGCGGGGTGGCTGCTGGCTGTGGGACCGGCGAGGTGGAGGAGACCGCCCGGCTGGGGGACGTGCGGAGGGTGTGAGGTGCTGGCACGGCGACTGGCAGACAGTGTCCCCTTGTGCTGCGCTTGCTGCTCTCTCTGCTCGCGTGGCAGCTTTTTCCCTTCCCTGGGGGCTCTGGGGACCTTTCCCACTGGAAACTGTGATTTGGGCCTTGGCACAATCTGGGACCCAGGGCTCCCATCCAGCCAGTGGTGGGTGCTCCCGCAGAGTGGCCGGCCGGGGTCCGGGTGCTGAGGGGGAGCCGCAGCGTGCCTGAATCGCAGCACTGTCTGCGCTGCAGCCTGCGGCGGGGTCTCAGGCGGCTGCCAGGAGCCTCTCTCCTCCCCTGGCAGCGCCGCAGCTCCCTGCTTGCTGGAGGGGGATGGGACTCCTTGGGGCACTGCCTGCTCTCACCTTTCCTGCTGTCCCTGAAACACCACCAGGTATTTCAGGGTCCCTGTGGAGCACTGTTTGAAGCTGGGTGGGTTGCTCCGTGCTCTGCTCCCCACAGGCCTTCCCAGCTGCTGGTGTTTGCTTTCCGGGATGCTGCAGGCTGTTCTCGGGTGTCCCTGGGTGCGTGCTGGAGGTGACAGCATGCCCCTTTTCCCGGTCCCTGGGCCAGTTTCCTTTCTATTGTGAAGATGAGTCACACCGGTGTCACCATGTTGTGTTCTGGAGGAAAAGCAAAGCTGAGATGCTGACGGTGACAGGCAGCACGGCACTCGGCGCTGCTTCCAGGCACTGCCTGGCCCATTGCTGACTGTGGAGGTGCTGGGGCTCTTCCTACCTTTCCTCCTTCCAGTCTCTTTTTTGGCTGGGGTTCCTCACACAGTGTCTTGGGGCATCTCCTCCAATCTCCCCTTGGGGCTGGAGAGACGGGCTTCCCATCCCGGTTGCTCCCAGCTCTGCCCAGATAGGCCTGTCCTGGTTGGAGAAGGGGCTCCTGTCGCTGCAGACACTGGTGGCACGGCTTCCCTTTCCCGGCCTCTCCCCTCCTTTGCTGCCCTTCTCCCCTCCCGCTTCATCTCCCGTGTTTGTAAGCGCAGAGCGTGAGTACACATTGGGCAATCAGAGGGTAAACAGTGGCTCCGCACCGGGCAGCCGAGCCGGGACGCCCTGCCGAGCTGGCCGCCACCGCGGCTCCTGGGATCCCATGTGGCTGTGGGTGAGCCGCGGTGGGCAGCGGGGCCCTGGTGTGGGAGCTGCGGCTGGGTGCGGCGGAGCCTGCCCGCCCTGGGTTTGAGGAGAAGCACCCCAGGGCCTGACCGCTCTTCCATCTCTCTGCAGATTGTGCTGCTGTCCCTGACGGTCTGTTCCTGCTGCTGTGGGTTCGTCCCCATGCTCTCTTGGGCTGAGCAGGGACCAGTGTGGCAGAGCGGCCGGCACACCTCGGGCTGCTGACGCAGGGAGGCCGCTGGACACGCTGCTCCTGGGACCCTCCTGCTCTCCAGCTAGAGGAACCCCGATACTCTGATGGATCTGAGGCCCTGCTCGCTGCTCCTGCTCTGGACTCTGGTGGTTGCCCTTGCTCTCCTGGCCCAGGAGGTGCTGGCCCAACGTATTTACACCAACACCTGGGCCGTGCTTGTCCCCGCAGGGCCCCAGGAAGCTGACAGGCTGGCCAGGAAGCATGGATTCCTCAACCTGGGCCCGGTAAGTCCCTTGCTTCCCTCTCCCTGTGGATGTGGTGTCCTCTACTGTGGTCTGGGCAGGCGCTGGACTCAGCGCTGGAGCCGGCTCGGGGGCTACTCTTTCTGGCAGCAGGGCCACTGTGTTTGTGCTTGCTCACTGCATCCGTCCAGCCCCCGCTGCATTGACTCAAGGGTGGTAATTAGCTGAATGGAGCTGTGGCTTCTCCCCGCCAGTGGGACAGTCTGGTGACATGGCACAGCTCAACACAGCACACTCTGCCTGCTGGAGGTGGAAGGAGGAAAAGCCCATCCCAGCATGAGAAAACTGGGAGTGTGTGCAATGGTGGAGAAGGGGAGGGCACCCCGTTCCTGACAGCGTTCCCCACAACGAGCTGCCCCAGTGCCGCACGGCCTTGGCTCAGCTGCGGCGGCAGCAGCCCCTCCTGGGTGTCCCCAGAACCCATGGTCTGATGGCAGCCGCGTGTCCTTGACCCTAAATTGCCCTTCACAGAAGGTGTGTCAGCAGGTCCCTGCTGCTCTCAGCTTTCTCTGCCCTTGCCAGTGGAGGGACGGGGCAGAGCACAGAGCTGTGCTGGGGCTGTAACTGCCATCACCCTCCTGGCAGCAGAGCAGGGAGAACCAGGTGACAGCAAAGAAACTGGAGTCCCTCACAGTCCCGGCTGTTCCTGGCCTTGTCCCCAGTGCAAGGAGCATTATGGTGCTCTCCTCCCAGCAAGCTTGACAGGGCCCAGCTCCCCAGTGCTCCAGGCCTCAGGATCTGCCTTCCCTGGTAGCCATGGCCCTCGCAGCTCTGGACCTGAGGTGTCAGTGTGAAAGCCAGGCCTTGGCCGAGAGCGGTGGGGCCGATGGCCAGGCTCCTGCTTGCCAGCATGGCACTGCGGGCAGGACATGTCTCTGTTGGCAGGCTGCTTCTTGCAGGCCAGTGCTTCTCCTTGTAGCGTGATCCCAGCTGCCCTGTGCTCGGTACAGGCTGATCTGTGGGGCTTTTCTTGGCCCTGCGCTGTGGGCAGGGCACTGGCCTCTGGGATGGCAGCCCGTAGGGGCTTTGCCCATGGAACTGGCACCAGCCGGCTGCTGTGACCAAGGCGGGGGGCAAGGGGATCCCGCAGGAATGGGGTGCTGCAGGGCTGGCCCAGAAGGACACCCATTGACCCCCGCAGAAGGAGCTGGACTTGTGCTGCTCTGGCAAGGTGAGGCTGGCACTGGAGGAGCAGAGCCCGTACGGCTCTGCCAGCCCCCACTGGCTGTTGTGTCCCTGGGGGTCTGTTACCCTGAGAGCAGGGTGCTGCTGCCGGGCTGGACTGGCTCCCCGGGAAGGAAGCAAGGGGCCAAATCCCAGAGGAAATTGCACAACTTGTGACTGCGGTGTCAGGACCTCGCTGAGCAGCTGCTGGCGCCGTGCTGGGCGGGGAAGGTGGTGCCTTGTCCCGCTGTATGAAAGGAGCCCAGTGTAGGGCGGTGGATACAGGGGGCTCTGGGGACAGGGAGCCCTGAGTCCTTCCTCTGGGGTTTGGGCTGGAGGAGGGAACTCTGGGGAGGCCGGGGCCAGCTCCCACTGAGGGTGTCTGCAGCCAGGGGACAATGACGCGTCCTTGTGCAGGTTCTCTGCATGGAAATGTCTTAGAGCTGGTGTCATGGCAAAGGACGTGTTGGGCCAGGGCTGCGGCTGTGAAGAGGGGACTGGGAGAGCGGCCCAGGATGTGTCCCACTGGGCCAGGTCTCTGCGGAGACTCCTGGGAGTGGTGACAGGCCGAGGTGCCATCAGCCTGCTCCTGGGAAGTGTTTCTTTGAAGATACAGCCACAGAGCCCGGTGCCCCTTGGCTCGGGCAGCTGGGAAACACCGGGCTCTGTGGCTGTGTCTCCACTGGCCCAGGGTGCCCGTCAGGGCCTAGGCAGCAGTTCAGGGCACTGGCTCGGCAGGGAACCCAGGCTCCCTGCCTGGGAGTTCGTCCCTGTGAGCCTCGGAGGCTGTGTGCCAGCTCTGCCTGTCGGTCCTCACCTCTCCCTGTGCCATTTGATCCTCGCTGGAGGTTGGAAGCTCAGACTGCGGCAGGAGCTGCTGGTCTGGGCACGTTTTCGCCCGTTCTGGAGCCCGTCCTGGTGTCTGTGCTGCGGGACGAGGCTTGGCTGGCCCGGGCAGCCTGCTCTGCAGAGGGGCCATGGCGGCCTGGTGGGAAGAGCAGGGCTGGAAGGAGCCAAGCTTTCCCTCCTGGGAGGTTTCTGGGCTGCTGTTCCTGTGGGGGGTGTTCCACTGGGACAGGATGCGACAGCCAGCCTGGAAGGGGGGCGGACCGGGTGCTTCTGGCAGTGCCCCAGGGAGAGGCCCCCAGGGTCCTTATCTGAGAGGATCCTGGCCTCAGCATGGGGTCTGGACACTGTCCTCGCAGCCACGTTGTCCTGGCATACTCCCTGCTCCGCCACCGCCTGCGCAGCAGGGGCAGACAGGCCCCTGGGACAGCCATGCCTCTGGCAGAGAGGTGCCAGGACCCGTCGCTGGTGCCAGTGGCCTCGAAGGGGACCCAAAGGACAGTGCCGGGGGGTGCAGGGGAGAGGGATGGCTGAGGTAGGAGCATGGTGGCTCTCCCCGATGGAGGGGGTGCAAGGACTGCCTGCCCCAGCTGGGCTTGGGGAGCCCTGGGGAAGGACCTGCGCTGGCAGGACACAGGGTCGAGCAGCCCCAGCCCGGTGAGGAGTGCTCCTACCTCCCGTCCCGCTGGGCTGCAGGTCCCTGCTGGCCCCTGCTGCTGCCCAGCACATCCCCCTGCACCCGGGGACATGGGCGGGAGTGCGGCAGCCGCTGGCTGAGGTGGCCAGGAGCTGGCACCGCACTTCGTGGGATCAGCACCGCCTGCCCTGGGGAGGTGTGGGGCTGGGGGGGCTCTACCCTTGCTGAGGACAGGGACTGTGGGGATTAGAGTGGGAGCGTGTGGGCTGGCTGGCTCCCGGCTGCCACCGCAGTGTCTGTGCAGACCTAATCCAGTCGGATGACCAGGCAGAGCCACGATCTGCTTGCAGGAACAATCAGGGCTCTGTCCTTACCCCCTGAGGGTGTGAGGGGGTGCTGGGGGGAGGGCAGCAAGCCTGCAGCTCGCTTTCCTGTCTGCCAGCCCGGTGCAGAGGCTTTTCATGGCGGCACCTCCCAAGTACTCTGAGCTGCCAGGCGTCTCGGGGGAACAGGCTGTGCTGTGGGGAACAGGCCCGAGTGTGTCCCTGGTGACTGTGGCAGTGTTGGAGGTGCAATTCTGGCGGTGCCCCTCAGGGAAGGGGTGCAGAGCTGCAGGCTGAGCCCTCGCTGTTCCTCCTCCAGAGCAGGAGCAGTGCTCAGGTGCCACCAGCATTGGGGAGCGCTGCCCCACGTCACGAGCACCACATCTCAGGGGGCCAGCATGGTCTGCAGCTGCCCTGGGTACCACCAGCCAGCCAGGCGTGGGGGTGATTTGCACCCTGCATAGTTCCCTGCCCCAAGCTTGCTCCCCATCACAGCCCCAGCTCTGGGGGACACACACAGAGGGGAGCAGGGTCCTCAGCCAGCAGCTGGGGGCTTTGCTGGCCCCTTCCCTGGGGACTGATGTGAGCTGTGAGCTACAAGCAGCAGAATCCTCTGGGGATGGAGCCGTGGACACAAGTCCTGACCCTGGTGTTCAGCTCCTGCTGGTGCTGGGCTGCCCCAAGTGGAGTCTGTTCCCTTTCCTGCCCGCTAGCGGCTGGTGCAGGGGGGGCTGTGCTGTGTGGAGCCCCACGGAGCGGAGCAGTTCCATTTCAGTAGGTGGGGGCTTGGGGGCTCCCCCAGGCAGAGGCGGTGCAGGCTGGGCTCCAGGTGCCAGGCTGTGTTTCCCTTGCCCCATGGAGCACAGAGGGACTTCGGGGTGAGGTGCATGACTCAGAGAGCCACAGCCCATATTTGCAGCCCCTAACACCAGTCAGCTGGGTGCACCTTTCCTCCCCAGCTGGGCTCTGGCTGGCTGCGTGGCTGGCCAGGGTGGCGGCACATCTGCAGATCTCTGATAAGATTGAGAGGGGGGTTGTTAACTGCAGCCAAACAGTTTTGTGGCAGCCTGAGGGGACAGAGTGTAAGATGTCCTCTCCCTCTTGTTCCCACAGCCTTTACAGCCCAGCACTGACAGTGATGCCACAGCCTGGGCAAACAGATCCCGCCTGTGGCTGCTGCCCAGACTTTGTGGCTTCCAGCGGGGCAGGTTGGCCACTTGGCCCCCTTCTCCTTAGTCCAGGCAGGCTGCTGGGCTGGGAGGCCGGGGGCAGCAGGGGTGGGGCCGCTGTGGCCAGTCCAGCCTCTGGGACGTGCAGGAGGGGATAAGGAAATGACAACACTGGAGAGGGTTCGGGGTTTAAAAATAACCGGCTGGGCGGCTGTGTGGCCTCCTGGCCCAGCTGTGCTGGAGTCCCATCCTGCCTCAGCCCTGCTGGGCTGTCCCTGCATGCCTGGGAGCTGAGCCGCAGCCAGCAGCGTGGCTTCTTGGCTAGTGGTGGCCCCCACCTCCGTGCCTTCCTCGCTTGCTCCTCTGGAGCTGGCTGTGCCCTGAGGTGGAGACCGGCACTGGGTGGGTGCTCTGGTGGGACGCCGGCCTGGGGGAGAAGGGCTCTGCGAGGGGCCCATCCGGAGGAGCAGAGGCTGGCTCAGACCCTCCCTGCCCTGGCTGGGGCTGTCTGTGAAGCGGGGTCTGGACCCCGCGGGTTGGCTGGACCAAGCGGGTTGGCTTGGGGAGGGCAATGGCGGTTCTGTCCCCTGAGGTTGGAGCCTCCTCCAGGCTGGCTCCCGAAGGCCTGTCCGTCTCCGCTGCTTGCCTGGGGCCTCCCTGCCATTGTTGGACAATTAGGGACTTATTGCCATGCAGGAACCTGCGGGAGGGTGGGGTGGGCAGAGGCCACGTCACTGTAGCCGCAGTGTCTCCCCTGCTGCCTTGTCACCAGCTGCCACAGCATCTCCTGCACTGTGTACCAGCAGCAGAGTGGGTGGCCCAGTCTGTCTGTGAAACCCCTAGGGCTTGGGACTGCAGGTGGGGGGACAGAGAACTGGGGAGACTGGGCTCTCACGTCCATCCTGCTCCTTTCCTGATTGCAGATCTTCGGTGACTATTACCACTTTCGGCACAGCGGCGTGGTGAAGCGTTCCCTCTCGCCCCACCAGTCCTGGCACAGCCGCTTGGCCAGGGAACCGCAGGTAGGTGCCAGTGGGGGGGCCACCTGCAGTGGCCTAGCTTTGGGCCTGGTGACTTTTCACGGGCACAGGACAGGGCTGAGCTGTCTTTAGCTATCCCCTGGCATCAAGGCCCGTGGCAGAGACGGGTGGGAGCCCAGCGCATGCCTGGCAAGGGCAGGGGCTCAGCAGAGCTGGCATCACTGTCCTGTGGGCTGCTGTGATTGCAGGGCACAGAGCAACCTGGGCTCCCTGGAGGGCTCTCCGTCCTCATACGTGGGACAAGGTGTGCAGGGTGGTGCTGGCAGTGCCAGATCCCAGCGCGTGATGTGGCTGCTGGGGTCTCTGTCCCTGGCTGTGGCCCAGGGCCCCGGTGCTCCGGCAGTGCAGTGGGGCATGCAGCGTGTCGCAGCAGGGCGTGCAGCACATCACCGCGGCTGGCAGGCTCTCAGCAGAGCTCTGCGCTCTGACCTGCCTGCTCCGCTGGAGCAGAGCCTGTGGCGGAGCGCTGCTGCCCTGGCACGGCTGGGTGGAGGGGACCGGGGGGGACGGTTGGGTGCTGTGGGAGGTCTGGGGGTCCAATGCTCTGCCAGCCCAGGGCTGGCTGTGAGCTCCCCATGGAGAGCCCCTCTGGGCTGGGGGGCAGAGGGTGTGGGGAGCTGCTGAGGGGGATCCCCATGCTCTCTCTGCCCCCAGGTGCAGTGGCTGGAGCAGCAGGTGGCAAAGCGCAGGACCAAGCGAGACGTGTTCATGGAGCCCACAGACCCCAAGTTCCCACAGCAGTGGTACCTGGTGAGTGCGAGGCAGGGGCTGTGCTGCTGGGCCAGGAGGGGAGCCCCGCAGTCACTGCAGCAAGTTCTGGTGATGTGGATGTGGCACCCGAGGGACGGCAGGGAGGAGGAAGGCCTGAGGCAGCCGCCCGTGCTGTGGATCCAGGGATACCCCAGGAAAGAGGCCATGCTCATGAACCAGTAGCTCCTGCCGGGGTGCTGGCAGGGCTGGGAAGAGCTGGGGGCTGGACTGGGAGGGAGCAGCCCTTTGCCTGGCCCAGGAACAGCATCTGTGCCCACCTGTGCCATCAAGCTCAGGCACAAACCTGGTCTCTGAAGGGAGCCATGTTTATGGGGCCCAGACAGAGTCTGGGGCTCAGTCTCCTTTCAAAGTGGCCTTCCTCAGGTGGCTGTGCCTGGGTCCCCTGGGATTTCCTCATCCCCGCACCACAGCAGAGCAGCGTGAAGGCTGCCTCTTGCCCGCCCTTACAGCTGGGGCTGGGAGGTGTTGGGCAGTGCCAGCAGCTAGGTGCAGCTCCTATTGCCAGGGCTTCTCTTGACAGTACAACACCAACCAGCGGGACCTGAACGTGCGTCAGGCCTGGGAGCAGGGCTACACGGGCAAGGGCATTGTGGTTTCCATCCTGGATGATGGCATTGAGAAGAACCACCCTGACCTGGAGGGCAACTATGTAAGTGTGGGGCGATGGCACGGGGAGGTGTGCCATGGGAGCCACTGGGTGTAGTCCCAGAGCTGCTGTGGTGGGACATAGAGGGAAGTGATGGAGATGGGACTGGAGCCTCCCCCCTTGCTCAGCCCAGCCTCAGGGCTCTGGGGCAGTGGGACTCAGGGGGCAAGGTGACGGTCTCTTAACTGCTAGATCTGTCTTCCAGGATCCAGGGGCAAGCTTTGATGTCAATGACCAGGACCCAGACCCGCAGCCCCGCTACACACAGATGAACGACAATAGGTGAGGCAGAGGCGAGGGTGGCAGAGCCCAGCTGCAGCAGGGACGTGGTGCAGTGCCATCGGGAGATGACTGCGGGAGGGTGCAGGTGTGGTGGCACGCTTCTGTCCCACGGAAGAATGCCCTGCCTCCCCTTTTGATGCGAGCAGTGTCCTTTGGGGCTGCCCAATGCCCGTGCAGGCTGTTCAGTCCCCGCTGCTCTGGAGCAGGAGGGTAGATGGAGGTGCCCTGCGAGGCCTTTGTTGGCCGCCCCATTCAGGAGGGATGCGAGGCAGCCTGGGCGCTGGTCCTTCCAGCTGCAGCTGGTGCCCTATGCTCCTCACGTCCCGTCTGAGCACACTTGGTCCTGTTCCCACTGCAGACATGGCACGCGCTGCGCAGGGGAAGTGGCTGCTGTGGCAAACAATGGGATCTGTGGTGTTGGCGTGGCTTACAACGCCAGGATCGGAGGTGGGTGGCGCCCTGCCCTGCACCAAGAGCAGAGCCTGTGCTGGGCTCCGTGGGTGCCTCGTGGCCAGAGGAGCAGGCTGTGCCGGGGTCTCGGCACTGCTGGCCAGGATAGCCACGTGGTGGCCCATGGCATAGAGCGGCAGCAGCGGATGGAGAGCTCTCGCATGGCCTCCAGCGTGGCTGTGCTGCCCCGTCCAGTCACCCGTGACATCTGCTCTCTGGCCCTAGGCGTGCGCATGCTGGATGGGGAGGTGACTGATGCTGTGGAGGCCCATTCCCTGGGCCTCAATCCCAACCACATCCACATCTACAGTGCCAGCTGGGGCCCCGAGGATGATGGCAAGACTGTGGATGGCCCAGCCCGGCTGGCAGAGGAGGCTTTCTTCCGAGGAGTTAGCCAGGTGAGCGGGAAAGTTTGCAAGGGGAGCTCCTGCCTCTTCCCTTGGGCCTCCTTTGCTCTGCCTGCCCTGGTTGTTGTCCAGGCTGTCCAGTGATGAGCTGTTTGTGAGCTGTCTTACAGCCCATCTGCAGGATCGGGCTCTGTTGGTTTTTCCTGTTCTTCCTGTGCGACGGCTGAGTCAGGGCTCCTCCCATGCAGGGTGTTTATCTCACCTCTCCGGGGAACCCTGTCCCCCCTGCTCCGAGGGCTCCCGCTCAGCCCCGTGCTGGGACAGTCTCTCCCCACTCTCCAAAGCCCTGTGCTGGCTCCTGCCTTGCTTCATGCCAGCCATTCATGCTCGCTTCCTCTGCCTGTCCTCTCCCCGCTGTCCCCGTGTGCTATCGGTGCCGCCTGTGCCTTGGCATGGCCCTGGAGCACGGTTCAGCTGTGCCCTGTGTTCTGCCTGCCATTCCCCACAGAGACACGCGTGTGCTGTGCAGGGTGTGCTGGCAAACCCCCCGGCTGCCACGCCAGCTCTGTCACACACGCTGTGATCGGAGCTGTGGTGTTTGGGTGCCGAGCAGACGGTCGGGGGTGCTCTGCTGAGCTCCTGCAGCGCTGCAAATCCCACACGGGCAGCGTCAGCTGGGGTGATTTCTGAGCAGAAGACGACATTAGGTCTTGGAAGCCAGCCTTCAGCAGGGCCTTCTGCCACCCAGTGCCTGGCCTGTTGGGGCAGTCCCTGCAGAGCTGCCCCAGTGTCTCCATGGGCATGGCAGTGGTGAGGGATGGGGTGCTGGGCCCCCAGGCTGATGTGCTCACCAGCAGCATCCTGCTGTCCCTCAGTGTCCCAGCTGCACCTGCTCAGTCTTTCCCCCTCAGGCTGTGGGAGCCCAGGGGCCAGCACCGTCCCCTCATCCCCAGACTGGGGCTTCCTGCCACACGGCAGCGTGGGTGACATCGGTGCTGGCCCTCACCGGCAGCGCGGGTGATGCCGGCGCTGGCCCTCATCCTGCCTCTGTTGGTAGGGCCGAGGGGGGCTGGGCTCCATCTTCGTCTGGGCGTCCGGGAACGGGGGCCGGGAGCACGACAGCTGCAACTGTGACGGTTACACCAACAGCATCTACACGCTGTCCATCAGCAGCACCACGCAGTACGGCAACGTGCCCTGGTACAGCGAGGCCTGCTCCTCCACCCTCGCCACCACCTACAGCAGCGGCAACCAGAACGAGAAGCAAATCGTGAGTCGGGGCTGTTGGTGTCTGTGGGCCGGGGGCTCCTGGGAGTGGGACAAGCTGTGGCTGCTGTAGGTGTCTCTCCAGGAGGAGCAGGGCTGGCCCCCTCTGCCATGCTCCCACTGCCGGGTTGCTCCCAGGGCTTGGTCTCCTTGAGTTAAGGATTCCTGGGGGAAAGCTCATGAGCTGCCCCAGGAGAGGTGGCTTTTCCTCACCGCTCACAGCCCTCACGGGGACACTGGCCCCCAAGCTGGCTCCTGGACATGGCCAGTGCCCATGGCACCTCCTACCCCAGCACTCCTCCTTGCAGGTGACGACCGACCTCAGACAGAAATGCACCGAATCACACACAGGGACGTCAGCCTCGGCACCCCTGGCTGCTGGCATCATCGCCCTTGCCCTGGAAGCCAAGTAAGGATGGGCACAGAGTGGGGCTGGGTTGGGGCAGCTCTGCAAGCCCTGCGAGGCTGTGGCGCCTGGGCATGGACCTTCCTGGGACCAGGAGGAGCCAGGGGCTGGTGCCAGAGCCCTGTGTCTCCCCACAGCAAGAACTTGACCTGGCGGGACATGCAGCACCTGGTGGTGCAGACATCAAAGCCAGCCCACCTTAATGCCAACGACTGGGTCACCAACGGCGTCGGCCGCAAAGGTACTGGGGTGCTGGGGACAGACCAGGGGCTCCTGTTCCTGCAAGCACCACTGGCCCAGGCTGCTGGGGCAGAGCATCCCAGCAGCCCTGGGGGGTGGAGGAGGCAGGAGGACCTGTTGAGCCGTGCAGTGTGGCCGGGCACATGTGCCCTGCCTGAGATTCCCAGCCCTGGGGGTGACGGTGACCCCTCTTTGTCCACAGTCAGCCACTCCTACGGCTATGGCCTGCTGGATGCCGGGGCCATGGTGAACCTGGCCAAGAACTGGACCACAGTGGGACCTCAGAGGAAGTGTGTCATCGATGTCCTCACAGAGCCGAAGTAAGGGCTGGTGAGCCCAGGAGGGCATCACCCAGCATTCACTCCACGCATGGCCCTGTGCAGGAGCCTGGGTGCCTGTGAGCCCAGGGTGATAAGTGGGGAGGATCTCCGGGGCTGAGCTGCTCCCAAGACCCCCGACCATCCTGTGAGAGCCTGGGCAGAGCCAGGAGAGCTGCCTGCAGCCATCCTGCACCAACATGGGCTGCCAAACCTGCCTGCTGCTACTGGGGCCAGCCGGAACGGCGGGGGTGCGGGCAGGCTGGGATGCTGTGGTTTGGGAGCAGCCAGCGCGAGTCATCCCCAGACAGAGGGGCTTTTCAGGGGTCAGACAGAAGCTCCTTTTACTCCCGCTTGGCCGCTGCCACCACAGTGCAGTGTGTGCTGTGTCTCGTGTGCAGCCAGGGAGCTCCCCTGGGGCTCTTGGGGTGGGAGTGGGCTGGGGCTGGGCCCTGCCTCTGCTCTGTCCTGGTCCCCTGGGACACAGCCCTGCCCATCCAGAGCGGGAACTCCTTGTCACCAGCATCCTGTGCTGGCTCCAGGCCGGTGCTGTGGGTGGCTGTGGAGGGGATGGCCACACAGGAGCAGTGGGATGTGGACAGCCATGCCCGTCTGTCCCTTGCCACACCGTGCAGGGTGGAGCCGGCCCCACGGTGGGTGAAGAAAAGGCCCATTCAGGGCTGGCACGGCGCAGCGATGGTGGGCAGCGTGTGCTCAGCTGAGCATACCCCACTGTGCCCAGGAGCTGGGGTGGGCCCCTCCTGCTGGCACCCTGTCTGGGGATGGAGTGGAGCCGCCGATTGCTGTGGGACTGCCCTCCCAGGACAGCCGCACGGCCCCGCAGTGGGGGCCAGGGCATACTGTTACATGCCTCCAGGCTGGGACTGGGCTCACTCTGGCCTCCCCTTGGCAGGGACATCGGGAAGCGCCTGGAGGTGCGGCGGAAGGTGGATGCCTGCCTGGGGAAAGCCAACTACATCAGCCGGCTGGAGCACGCACAGGCCAGGCTGACGCTCTCCTACAACCGGCGGGGGGACCTGGCCATCCATCTTGTCAGTCCCATGGGCACCCGCTCCACCCTGCTGGCTGCCAGGTAGGTGCCAGGGTGCTCTGGGGCAGCCCCAGGCCCAGGCTGGCATCAGTGGGTTTGTGGGACGCTGGCACCCACATTCTTGCCCCCTCTCACCCAGGCCCCATGACTTCTCGGCCGACGGCTTCAATGACTGGGCCTTCATGACGACGCACTCATGGGACGAGGACCCCTCCGGGGAGTGGGTGCTGGAGATTGAGAACACCAGCGACGCCAACAACTACGGTAGGGCTGGGCCGGCGTCACCCCCACCACTGCCCCCGACGAGTAGCACAGGCACCCAGCATCCCCTCGGTGCCCCTGAGCAGAGGGGCTGGTGGCATCTCAGAGGCTTTGCAGTCACCTGGCTGGGGAGAGGCTGGAGCTGGACACAGGAGGAGGGGATGGGGCTGCTCTGGGGAGGTGGGGATTTGCAGTAGCAGGAGCCCTTTGGGCAGCCCTACACTGCAGCATGGCCACGCGTTGGGGGCTCTGCCAGGGAGGGCACAACCCTGCTATCCCCTGGTAGCCACGACCAGTACAAGCCCCATTCCTGAGTGTGTGTGGGCCTGTTGGTGTCCTCACCCCAATTTGTTGCAGGCACACTGACCAAGTTCACACTTGTGCTCTACGGGACAGCCACCGAGTCCCCCAGCCTCTCCAACCAGCTGGAGAGCAGCGGCTGCAAGACCCTGACCCCTAGCCAGACCTGCGTGGGTGAGTGTGGGGCCAGTGGGGAGGGCAGGGGGCCACAGGCACCCCCCCCGTGCTGACCCTCTTCTCCCACAGTCTGCGAGGAGGGGTACTACTTGCACCAGAAGAGCTGCCTGAAGCGCTGCCCTCCCGGCTTCGCCCCTGGTGTGCAGAGCACGCACTACAGCCTGGAGAACAGCGTGGAGCCCATCACGCCCCAGCTCTGCCTGCCCTGCCACCCCTCCTGTGCCACCTGCGCTGGGCCCGGCCCCAACCAGTGCCTCACCTGCCCTGCGCACTCCCACTTCAGCAGCCTGGACCTCTCCTGCTCCCACCAGACGCAGAGCAGCCGCGCATCCCCTGCCCTGGCAGACGGCGAGGGGCTGGCCGAGGCCCCCCCTACGGCCAACCTGCCCGTCCTCATTGCCAGTCTCAGCTGTGTCCTCATCGTTGTCATATTTGTCACCATCTTCCTGGTGCTGCAGGCGCGCTCAGGCTTCAGCCTGCGGGGCGTGAAGGTCTACGCCCTGGACAGCGGGATCATCTCCTACAAGGGCCTCCCCTCTGACATCTGGCAGGAGGAAGGCCCCTCTGAGTCGGACGGTGAGGATTACGAGGCCCACAGCGAGAGGACTGCCTTCATCAGAGACCAAAGTGCCCTTTGATGAGCCCTCCCGCCCCTCCCTCCTCCCTGCCCAGCACCACAGGGCCGGGGCAGGTGAGGTCGAGGGGCCCCGGACTCTGTCCCCGTCCCCCTCCCGCACCCCAGCAGCCTGGGGCTCCCCCACCATCGGCACCGTCCCTTGGCCCTGGCCTGGGCTGCCGGGCACAGCCCTGCCGGCACCGTCCTCAGCTCGGCACCGTCCCAGTCCCACATCACCTCTCTTGGCCCCGCATCCACCCTGTGCTCTGCGCTGGGGTGCTTGATGGCAGCAGGGTCCCTGGCACTCACTGGCCCTGCGCTGGCAGCCCTGTCCCCTGCCCCTGGGCAGCTGCTGCTGGGGCTCACATGAGTCCCCTGGGGTGGGCAGCGCACGCGGTCCCTGGGTTGTCACTGCTCAGGCTGGGCTGGCTGGTGCAGGGCCACCTCTGCCCCGCTGGGCCTCTGCCTGTGTCCCTCCTCAGCCTCTGGTTCCCCGCCACCTCCCCAGGGCCTGTCCGCCTCCACCCGTGCCCTTCAACAGCAATAATGGCCAGGCCTCAGCTTCTGCTGCCTGCTTGCCCGCTGTCGACCGTCCCACCGCGGCCGCAGCTGCCTGCAGCCTGGACAGGAGCCCCCCTGCACCGGAGAGCATGGGGCAGGGCAGCGCCTTTCCCTCTGCCCGAGGTTCAGCCCCCCCAGCGCAGGCAGGGACCCCCTCGCACAGACCCTGCTCTGGAGGGCTGCCCCGGGCCCCCTCCTGTCCCCAGGCAGGGCTGTGCGCTGCAGGCCGGGGCAGTGGGGCAGCGGCGGTGCCTGCGCTGCCTCAGCTCTGCCTGCTCCTTGCCCCTGCCAGGCCGAGCCTGGCCCCCCTGCAGCCCCTGCCCCCCGACGTGCCTTGCCCCCACTTGGTGACAATCCGTTTTGCTCCCTGCCAGAGGCCCTTCCTGGCACCGCCTGCCCTCGCTGCCCCTTCCCCGCGGGCTGGGGCCAGTGCCGTGAGCCCCTCCACCGTCCGCCACTGCACACCGGGGCCGTGGCACGGGCTCCCACCTGCCCCGTGCCAGCGCCAGCCCGGGCTGCTGCGGACGGAACCGCCAGCCGGGGGCCACAGGACTATTTTTCTATAATAACTTTTTGGTGCACAGTAATTTTTTCTTGTAATTTAATCAGCCGGGAGCTGCCTCCTGAGCCTGTTTTTAATTTAATGGATGTGGATATAACGCTAGAGAGACTGAGTTATTAAATGTTCAGAACTATGCAATCCAGCTCCGGTGCCTGTGCTCTGTGTGCCGCAGCAGCGGGTGGTCCTGGTGGCAGGAGGGCACAGGGTCATCCCCCACCGCTGCCCTGGACCCGTGGGACCCACCCTCATCTGCTCCACAGCTGCAGGAGGGGCCTGGGGCCCTGTCTGCAGCTGGGGCAGGGGCACCTACAGGGGTGGGGGGGGCGCTGCCCAGGCTGCCGTGCTGCCCACCATAGTGCAGCTGCAGGAGCCTGCGGTGCTGGGCTCCCCCACAGCCCACGGCCAGCACGGAGAAGTCCCCTCAGCAGGTAAAAAGCCCCCCAGAGTCAGGGCTGCCCTGCCCAGGCTGCAGGCAGGAGCTGGCGCGGGGCAGGGGCTGCTATTTGGGGATGCGGTGGGGACTCGGCGCCCGGGCGGGGACCGGCCCCCTCACCTGAGCGGAGAAGCAGCTCCTTGTGGGGAACCTGCAGAGAGGGGAGCTAATTTGGGAACCAGCTGCGGTGGGTGGCGGGGCGGGGGGTAGAGCGCAGGGGAACTCGAACCGCTTTCCTGCAGCACCCAGGCTGAGCCCTGGGACCAGCTGAGCTCCCGTGCTGCAGCCCCGTGTCCAGCGGCCCCTGCAGCCAGCCCTGGAGGGGGACCTGGGACCCACTGGTGCCCCAGCTGAGCCCAGGGCAGAGCCCTCCCCAGCCCCACCAAGCTCCCCAGGAGGGTCTGTTAGGGCTGCGCTCGCTTGCAGGGGCAGCTCCGCTCTGCAGAACCCCTCGGCCTCTCTGCGCCCCTCCCTGTGGTGGCTTCCTGTGGTCCAGAGCGAGCCCCCACGATGCACAGGCAGCTGCAGGTGCCGTTCAGCCAGCTCTTCCCTTTCGTGCGAGGCTGGGCTGGGGACAGGTCTCTGTCACCCCCCGGCTGGGGGCTGCGTGGCCCAGAGCTGCTGGGGGCAGCCAGGCACCACGGGCTGGCTGTGGCCATCAGGTGCTGCAGTGGTGGCTCCTGGGGGACAGTGGGCAGAGGCCGTGGCCCCACAGGGCTCTGCAGGACACGGGCAGGCAGACAGAGGATGTGAAACTGGGTGAGCTGCAGCATGGGCCACAGCAGCCTTCCTGCTGCGGGCAGTGGTCAGGACTTCCAGGGAAGGGGAGCTTCTGCACCCGCCGTCGCACCAGAGCCTCACAGCACTATCCTGACCAGCCTGGCACCGTAGGAGGGGCAGCCAGTGGGCCCCCAGGCTCGGGTGCCTCCCACCAGAGGTGCCCGGTGTCCCCGGTGTAGGCAGGGAGGGCTCCTGTGCTGCCAGGGAGGTGCCAGGGGATGGTGGAGGGATGCTGGGGAAGGGGAGAAGCAGTCCCTCAGATGCTTGCGAAACACTTGCTAAGCTTGTGGCGGCCCTGGGGATGATGGGGTATGTGGATGCTGGTGGTGGGACCCACAGCTCATGCAGAAAATAGAACTGTTGCTGGGCCAGCTCCGTGGCCGGGGCAGAGGGGGCTGGAGGTGAGTTGGGGTCTGATGCAGGTCAGGGTGGCCACAGCCCCGGTGCTGGAGGACCTTCTCTGATCCCCAAACCCTCCAGGGAGCCTGGAGGTGCTGGGGAGCGTCAGCAGCACCGAGTGTGCTGGGTGGCTGTACGGGGCACAGGGAAAGGGGAGCCCCCCCGGCAGGCAGGACCCCATGGGGACTGAGATCCAATTGCAGGGTGATCAGCTGGTGGGCAACGGGGGACCAGTGAAGCACTTTGAGGGGGAAGTGCCTGGGGTTGCCGCAAGGATGGGGGTCCTGGGCGTGTGTGGCACCAAGTGCTGGGACGCAGCTCCATGGGTGCCCATGCAGTGGCTGTTCTGTCCTGTGGCCTTTCACGGTGATGAAGGCCAAGCTCAGGGGTGGTGATGGGATGGCCCTCCCCTCAGCAGGACTGCTCGGAGCCCTGGAGACCCCTCCCTGGTCCCCTCCCCAGTCCCTGCAGCCTCTTGGGGAACCGGGCCACAGAGAGGGGCTGGGGACAAGCAGGACAGGGCACGGCTGAAGGGGCTTTGTGGGGTGAAACCCCTGTGGGGATTGGGCTGAGCTCAGGCTGTGGGGGGGTGATGGACCTTGTCCAGGGCGAGGAAGAGCCCTGGGCTCCTGCGGGGTCACATCCTTGTGTGAGGCAGCTGGGAGGGAGGTGGGGCTGGGGGCTGCCCAGAGATGGGGGGGCTGTGTGCGGCGTTGGGCCCGAGCGCAGGGACTGGCAGGGAGGGGAGGAAGGGCAGGAAATCTCGCAATGGCTGTATGGTCAGCACTGGGTTTCCTGTTCCTCCCCAGGAGCCGGAGCTGCACCAGGTCCAGACTGCGCCGGCCCCAGCCCCGGGAGGACGCCAGCGCCAGCCCCACAGCGGGGACCTCGCGACACACACAGGTTGGAGGGGCTGTGCCCCATGGGTCACTGGTGGGGACAGGGGATCCCTTTGTGGGGCTGGGGGGGTTTTGGCCCTGGCCCTTTGTGGGGTCGAGGGCTGTGCCGGGGGACATCCTGCCCTGCAGAGATGTCCCCTTCTGCTCCTGCTGCACCCTCGCCATGGGGCAGGGCACATCACGACCATGGCTGGGACCAGTTTGGCTCCCGACGGCCATGCTGGAATCGCAGGTGCTGGAACATGTCCAGGCTCAGCACCTTCTTCCAGGGTGCGGTGCCACGTCCCCTCCTGCCATCGTCCCACTTGTGCCCTGGCCTTGGGAGGTCCCCTGTCCCAGTGTCCCCAGCTGCCCCCGACATGGGAGCAGGGGTGACCAAGCCGATGGGCAGAATGGGGCCAGAGCTGCTGGTGGCCCAGCTAGGATGGGAGCCATGTCTATGCTGCCTTCGGGGAGCAGACCCACACACACAGCAGAGGTGACGCTGCTGTTTTCGACCCCACACTTCCTCCTCCCCGGCACCCTCCCGGCGGGACCCGGCTGCCGCGGGGCTTGGGGTGTGCTCAGCCCTCCCGCCTGCTTTGAATGCGCTTTGCAAGGCAGATTGCGTGGGGCAGGGAGGACTCAGCCCCCCACCACATCCTGCTGACGGGACGATGGGGCGGGAGGGTGTGAGATGCAAAGGGTCCCCACCGCTGCCGAGGGCAGTGTGGGGCACGGGGTGGCTGTGGCACCTCAGGCTCTCCCACAGCTCTGCAGCCTCCTCCCACCCAGGACGGCGGCACCATGGGCTTCGGGCCGGAGCTGTGGTGCCCGCAGGGGCACAGTGCACTGCTGCGGCTGCAGGACAGCGAGCTGCGCCTCCTGGAGCTGATGAAGAAGTGGATGTCACAGCGCGCCAAGAGTGACAGGGAGTATGCGGGGATGCTGCATCACATGTTCTCCCAGCTGGAGAAGCAGGAGGGCCCTGGGCAGCTCCGTGCCAGTGACCACGGTGGCCAGATCGGGGAGGTAGGGATGCCCCGGCATGGGAACTCACCCCGCAGAGCCTGGCATGGTGCGGTGCTGGGGGGTGGCCGTTCCTGATGCCCTGTCCCCACAGTCCTGGTCGGTGCTGGCAAACCGGACGGAGACACTGAGCCAGATTCTGCGGCGGCACGCGGAGGAGCTGGTGGCGGGGCCGCTGGCCAAGCTGAGCCTGCTCATCCGTGACAAGCAGCAGCTCCGCAAGGCCTTCAGCGAGCAGTGGCAGCAGCTCAGCCAGGAGTACACCCGGGTATGCAGGTCCCAGCGGGGAGCGGGGGGAGGCAGGGAGGTCCAACCTGGCCTGGCTCCCCTGATGGTGTTTCCCTCCCCAGACCACGCAGCAGGAGATGGAGAAGCTGAAGGCACAGTACCGCAGCCTGGCACGCGACAGCGCCCAGGCCAAGCGCAAGTACCAGGAGGCCAGCAAAGGTGCCTGCCCCCCCATTCACTCTGTTCCCATCCTGCTGGGTCCCCTCCTGGCTCCACTCATGGGTTGGGGATGGCCAGAGGACCCTGCACCCTGCGGGACCCACAGCTCAGCCCTGGTGCAGGGAGAGCCCAGCCTGGCCCCTGGGGAGCCGGCAAAACTCCCAGGGGCTACTCAGCCTTGGGATGCTGCGCTGCAGCTCAGGGGCACTCCCAGGAAGGTGTGTGACCATCCCGGCCCCCCTGCCTGCCCCAGGACCCCCCTCCCAGCCCCATGACCCACCCCAGCCCCGCTGGGTACCTGTGCTCCTCACTGGCTTCTCGGGGGGGATGCAGGGCAGTGCTGGGACAGGCGGCAGCAGTGGGTGTTTTCCACGGCCTCTTCTGCCCCCCAGACAAGGAGCGGGACAAGGCGAAGGAGAAGTATGTGCGCAGCCTCTGGAAGCTCTACGCCCTGCACAACCAGTATGTGCTGGCCGTGCGGGCAGCCACGCTCCACCACCACCACCACTACCAGCGGGCACTGCCCAGCCTCCACCAGTCCCTCTACAGCCTGCAGCAGGAGATGGTCCTCATCCTGTAAGAGCCCTGCCTGCCCTGTTGCCTGCCCCACACCCCATGCCTGGGCACCCCCATGGGCACCGAGAGCCACTAATGCTCCCTCCTCCTGCCACCTGCATCCTCCCTGCCCTGTCGCCTGCCCCATGCACCCCTGTCCCCCACGCCACAGCCCTGACAGTGATGCCCCGCAGCACCACACAAGATGTGGGGACTGAGGGTGCAAGACAGTGGGACACGGAGACCAGCCAGCCTGGGTGGCAGGGCTGAGACAGGGGTGGTGGCTCATGGCCACAGGGGCCCTGGGCTGGGGGACGCAGGAGCCCAGCAGCCCCCAGAGCCCATGTCCCTGCAGGAAGGAAATCCTCGGGGAGTACTACAGCATCAGCAGCCTGGTGCAGGAGGACGTGCTGGCCGTGCACCAGGAGATTGTTGATGCCATCCAGGCCATTGACCCTGACACCGAGTACGGAAGCTTCATCCAGAGCCACAGGTACGGCCCCACACAGCTGCAGCCCCTTGACCGGGCACGGCCCTGCCAGCCATGTGTGCCAGTGGCCGGCACAGGGCATGGGGGGGAAGCAGAGCCACACTGGGTGCCCGCAGGTACGGCTCCGAGGTGCCGCCGGCTGTGTCCTTTGACGAGAGCTTGCTGGAGGAGACAGAGAACCTGGCGCCAGGGGAGCTGCAGCTGAATGAACTGACCATCGAGAGCGTCCAGCACTCGTGAGTGGGGCCGGGCCACAGGCAGGGGCCACCACTGCTGGCAGTGTGGCTCATAGCCACCCGGCACCCACATCTCCTGCAGCCTGACGTCGGTCGAGGAGGAGCTGGCAGCCGCCACGGAGGCCGTGAGCAGCAAGGAGCAGCGGGTGTGGGAGCTGCAGGCGGAGATCCGGGGCGAGGAGCAGGGCCGGAGCACTGGGGAGCGGTGAGGTGCGGCAGGTGGGGGGCGAGGGGCCAGGGGTGGCAGGGTCTGACACCCTGTCTCCTCCCCAGGGTGCACTTGCTGGGCAAGCGGCAGGGGCTGCAGGAGGCGCAGCAGCAGCTGGAGGGCTGCCTCTGCGCCCAGGCCAAGCTGCAGGCACAGCGGGACCTGCTGGCGAGCAAGCTGGGGGAGCTGGGGGCTGGAGAGCCCCCGCCTGCCCTGCCTCTGCAGGAGGACCGGCACTCCGTCTCCTCTGTGGTGAGTCCTGCTCTGCGGGGACCTGGGAGCCGTGGGGCAGGGGCATGTGGGGCTCGGATTGCCCCCTGCTCAACGTACAGCTCATGCCTCCCCCAGGAGCAGGAGCGCAGTGGTGCCACAGCGCTGGAGACCCTCAAGAACCACATCTCAGGCATCACCAAGTACTTGGTGAGTCCCTGGGCACCTCTGCCCACCCTGCCCTCCCACCCGGCTGCCTTGCCGAGCCTCCTGGCCCCTTGGCACACCCTGCCCTCTCCTCTCCATCCCCACAGCCCCCTCGTCTCCCTTCTCCAGCCCCTCCAGCCCCCTGCCTGCTGCTCCCTGCCCGGGGCACTGCTGCTGCCCCCACTTCTGGCACGACCCAGGGGCACAGCTGGGCTCACCCCTGTCTCCATGCAGCTGCCGCCCCCCGTTCCCCTGATCCCGGAGGTGCAGAAGCCGCTGTGCCAGCAGGTCTGGTACCACGGAGCCATCCCCCGAGCAGAGGTGCAGGAGCTGCTGAGCTGCAGTGGAGACTTCCTGGTGCGGGAGAGCCAGGGCAAGCAGGAGTACGTGCTCAGCGTGCTGTGGGACGGGCAGCCCCGGCACTTCATCATCCAGGCCGCCGACGTAAGTGACCACAGGCAGGGAGAGAGGGCTGGGGGTGGCCCCTGTGCAGGCAGGTGGGGGGTCCCTCCCTGCTCACAGCCCCTGGCTTGGCAGCCATGGAGTCCCTGGTGTGAGTCATGGTCATGAGCCCTCGATGCTGGGAGGGCTGGAGCCCCTCTGCTGGGAGGACAGGCTGAGAGAGTTGGGGGTGACAGTCTGGAGAAGAGAAGGCTCCGGGGAGACCTTAGAGCCCCTTCCAGTCCCTCAAGGGGCTCCAGGAGAGATGGGGAAGGACTCTGGATCAGGGAGGGGAGCCCTAGGAGGAAGGGGAAGGGTTTGACCCTGAAAGAGGGGAGATGGAGCTGAGATGTGGGGAAGAACTTGTTTGGTGTGAGGGTGGTGAGAGCCTGGCCCAGGTTGCCCTGAGAAGCTGTGGCTGCCCCATCCCTGGAGGGGTTCAAGGCCAGGTTGGAGGGGGCTTGGAGCAAACTGGTGTGGTGGGAGGTGTCCCTGCCCAGGGCAGGGGGTGCACTGGGGGGGCTTTAAAGTCCCTTCCAACCCAAACCATTCTGTGATTCTGTGAGTGCACGGGATGTGTGTGTGCATGATACGAGTTGTGTGCACCCATCCTTGCACGGGCCAAGCGTGGGGCCCTGCATCATGCATGGGAATGCCCACTTGTGCATGCTTATTGTGCCTGGTGTGCACAGATGTCCTGTGCCCTGTGCGTGCGTGCACACTCATCCACACATGCACAGCCACACATCCCAGCCCTTGTGAGCACACCTGTGTGTGCGGGACCCCCTCTTAGCCTGTCCTCCCCACAGAACATGTACCGGTTGGAGGGGGAAGGCTTCCCCACCATCCCACTGCTCATCGAGCACCTCCTGCAGAGCCAGCAGCCCATCACCCGGAAGAGCGGGATCGTCCTGGCCAGGGCCGTGCCCAAGGTGACGGCGGGCAATGAGGAAGGGGATGAGTCCCCTGTGTGTGTGGGAGCCCTGCCCAGCCCCTTCTCCTGCCCACAGACGGGCTGGGAGCCCCAAACACACTTCTCCAGCCAGACATGGTGACTCAGCCCTAGGGGTGGGGACCTGGGGGCTGGGAACCCCCCTCTGGAGCTGCAGAGGCCACGAGGGGTGTGGGTCTGGGGTAGCTGGGGGGTGGCTCACTGCCTTCAGCGTCTGCTTGCTACAGGACAAATGGGTGCTCAACCACGAGGATGTGCTGCTGGGGGAGCGCATCGGCCGGGTGAGTCACGGTGCTCCGGTCCCTGCCCGCAGGGGGTCTGTGGGAGGGCAGAGCTGTCCCGGGGCATCTGCGGGAGGGCAGGGGGTGCCTTGGGCCACGCCGCGGCAAGCTGATCTGGTGCACCCCTGTCTCTTGGCAGGGTAACTTTGGGGAGGTGTTCAGTGGCCGCCTACGCGCCGACAACACGCCCGTGGCTGTGAAATCCTGCCGGGAAACCCTCCCACCCGAGCTGAAGGCCAAGTTCCTGCAGGAAGCCAGGTCTGTGTGGCCATCACCCTTGCCCCAGCCCCTCTGTCCCTCCTAGGGACTGCTCAAACCCTGCTGCGACTGCAGCATCCCTGTGTCGAGGGCTGGGGGGCACAGCATCCTGGGGATGGCACGGAGGTGACCTGTACCCGGGGCAGCCCCTGCACGCTCACAGTGCCCATCCTTGTCCCCAAGGATCCTCAAGCAGTACAACCACCCCAACATCGTGCGGCTCATCGGCGTCTGCACCCAGAAGCAGCCCATTTACATTGTCATGGAGCTTGTGCAGGGTGAGAGGCCCCATCCTGCAGCCCCCACGCTGCCAGGGTGGCCAGTGCATGTGTGTGCAAGCTCGCCACGGCGTGCCAGCCCACCAGCTCCACAATCCTGGGTGCAGGAGGGGACTTCCTGAGCTTCCTGCGCAGCGAGGGACCCCACCTGCGGGTGAAGGAGCTGCTCAAGATGACGGAGAATGCAGCTGCTGGCATGGAGTACCTGGAGAGCAAGCACTGCATCCACAGGTGGGTTCCAGCAGCACGGACAGGTGATGGCAGGGCGAGCCCCGCAGCCCTCATTGCCCCCTGTCCCGTGCCAGGCAGAGGGCCCTGGGGCCAGCTGGGCATGTGGCTGATGGCTCTGGGACATCCCAGGGACCTGGCCGCTCGCAACTGCCTGGTGACAGAGAAGAACGTCCTGAAGATCAGTGACTTTGGGATGTCACGCGAGGAGGAAGATGGTGTCTACGCCTCCACAGGGGGGATGAAGCAGATCCCTGTCAAGTGGACTGCCCCTGAAGCACTCAATTATGGTATGGGATGGAGCCAGGCATGGCCTGGTAGCCCACAGCACAGCTGGGAGCCAGGAGTTGGGGGCTCCCCATCCTGTTCCTGCGTGCCAGGTCCTGGGGAGGGAGGCAGAGAGAAAAGGGGCCACTCCAGCCCTGGTGAGTGTCGGCACAACAGTGCCATGGGTGTCCCCAGCTGCCAGCATCCGACCTGCCCCATGTCCCCAGGCCGATACAGCTCTGAGAGCGATGTCTGGAGCTTCGGAATCCTGCTGTGGGAAGCCTTCAGCCTGGGTGCCATCCCCTACGCCAACCTCAGCAACCAGCAGATGCGAGAGGCGGTGGAGCAGGGTGAGGGATGCGGCTGGGTCTGGCTCTCAGGGGGGACTGTGGGTCCACCGTGGGACTGTCCCCGCAGGACGGGGCTGCGGGTGGCCCGGGCTGCCATGTCCCCATCCCTGCTGCCCCCCAGGCATGCGGCTGGACCCCCCTGAGCAGTGCCCCGAGGAGGTGTACCGACTGATGCAGCGGTGCTGGGAGTACGACCCCCGCAAGCGGCCCAGCTTCAGCACCATTCACCAGGACCTCATCGCCATCCGCAAGAGGCACCGGTGACGGGGAGCACCGGGAGAAGGCTGCGTCCCGCTGCCCCCGCTCAGCACAGCACCATGAGCCCCGCATCCATCCCGCCAACGGCGCCTGCCCCTCGGGGGGGAGCGGGTGCTGCGGGATGCAGCCTTGCCCCCTCCCCAGCCCGGGGCAGGGGGCTCCTGCGCAGCCCGGGGACGCGATACCCACAGCTCCCACCGGGCTCCATCCTGTGTAATAAACAAACGAGCTCTGCAGCACCGTGTCTGTGGGGTACGGGGTGCGCAGACCCCACGGGGGACAGTGGGGACATGCCCCTGTGCCGCACCAGGGACGGGGTGCACCGGATGGCCCCGGGGCTACGGGGGTCTGTCCAGAGGTGTCCCCCAGGCTGCGGGGGATGGCCATCCTGCCCCACGGCAACGAGGGTCCTGCCCGGGCCTGTCCCCGGGGCGGCGGGGGTCCCGGCCGGTCAGTCCCCAGCAGCTCGGCCCCCGGACCCCGCTGGTCCCGGCCGGGTGGGTGCCGCCCCGGCGGC